CTAATAGATTCTATAAGGAAAACTAAATGGAAAATTTGTCTTGAGTGTTAGACACCTCTGGTCCAGGAGCCAGTGGAGCCAGTGTTATTATAGATGAGGTTGAATCAATAATACTTTCTCATTCTCTTTTTATTTTGATTTTTACAAAAATGCCCATTTTAACCAGCAAAGAGAGAAGGAGATATTATCAAGGGCAATTTATCATGCTCACATGGATTATATTCTAGGACACATTGCTCTTAGAAGAGCATATTTAGAAATAGCACCATTTCTATGCCCTCCCCCTTCAGAAATGTATTCAATTCTCTTCCAGCAGTATGAATTCATCTGGAAATCTATGACAATCAATTAAGTAAATGAGAAAATAGGATGCTTGTAATTATGATAATCAAGCTATATGAAACCCACTCTCTTAGGTCTAATACCCACATCTTTAAGCAATATATTAATTAAGCAGTGGGTAATTGTTACAATTAGAATCAAGCTTTTATAATTTTTAAAAATCACTCAGAGAAAAAAGAAATAGTTTTAATATATATGCAGCTGTTGGTATTTAACACAATTCATTATCATGACTATATTCTCATTTCCTTGACTGTGTGGAGAAACTATTCCAATATGCTTTTCTGATGTGATTCCCCATTGTTATTGGAGAAATTTGGGATGTAGCACCCAAATCTTCAGATGCTTCTGGTTCTCTAGGTCAAAGGTTAGCAAACTTTTTCTATAAAGGGCCAACTAATAAGTATTTTAAGTTTTGTAAGCCAAGAGACAAAAATTGAAGATATATGAAAGTGCCTCTGTAGTAAGAGAGAAAGTAAAATTTCACAGTTTTTGTACTAATGAAATTCAAAGTCTAGTAAAATAATAAGTACAATTGGGGTTCTTTTTTGCAATCACATCTACTTATAAGATGAAAGATATTTTTACTACTGGCATAACATTTCACTTACGAGAGTTTCAGTGTAAGTGCTCTCCGTTACCAAGTCATTGTGGGCTGGATGTTGTTCACAGCCTAGTCTGCCAAACCCTGCTCTAGCATCTGCAACCTTCCTGTGCATCAGAATCACCCAAAGGGCTTGTTAACATTGACTAACGAGTTTCTGAGGAGGCCCAGGAATGGGCATTTCTAGGGAGTTCCCAGATGAGTCTGATGCTCCTGTTTTTGAGGACCATACTTTCAAAACACCACTCTGGGTGTTCTCTTATTTAAAATCTCACCTGGAATACAAATCTGTATATTTATGTATTTTATTGTTTACTCACATATTTAAGCTCGCCCAGTAGATTTTACCTTTTTCAACTCCAAGGTACAGGGAGAGTCCAAAGTTAAATTTCCACGAAGAAGCAAAAACGTCATTAGCCAGATCAGGACTGATAATGAAAAACACTTTCATCTCTTAAAGAGCTCCCAGTCTCTTGGCTTAACAGAATCAAACGTCAGCAATCAGCATCTACTTGTCTGCTGTAAAAAATATTGAAATCGCTCTATCTCAATTCTATTAAACTCTAAAAGTACTACACAGTATTCCAAAGTACTACACAGTATTCCAAAGGTAAAACGTAAGACTAACACTTTCATCTTAGATTTAATATTTCCTAATTCACCAAGCACATTTTCAATATTAAGGCCAGGGAGCAGGGTAAGGGTGGGTGGTCTTGGAGCCAGGGATGAGGGAGTGTTGGAATTTGTAGTGGTGTTTAACCCATGAAACTTAATTTAACTCACGTAATTTAACCTGAGGCTAGTTCTGGCACGTTTCTGAGGCCCCCCAGGAATAAGTAAAATACCTATTCCATTGATCTAGGAGAAACCCACAGTTTACTAACTATTGACAGATTCAAAAGTTCCAAGTTGACTGTTACATGCTTTGGGATCTTGGGGATGAACTGAGAATGGTTTGAACTCTTACCTATATTGAGGTTGTAGAGAAAGTTAAGGATAAACTGAAGGGCATCAACAAATGTGAACAACCACCTATCACAAAAGAGATTATTTCAAAAAAGAAGCAAAGTGGTAAATATGTTCTCCTTCTGTTTATTTGTCCCAATGGTTTAAAAAAATCAGCTTTATGAAGCCATAATCTTCCTCATGACAGATGGGCCTGTACATTAGCGTCGTGCTTTCAGTCAACAGTTTACATTTCAAGAGGAAGGTGAAGAAACTGAATGGAACAACATCTTCAGCATCTAGTTGTCATTTTTTAGTTTTATAACATTGATACAAAAAAATAGTATTCTGATTAGCAGCTTGATTGGCAACCCATGTAACCCTAAATAGTACTACAAACCTGGAGAGTGCACTTTTACAGACAATTACTTTTGGCAAAACAGTATGTACAGTTTTGACAAATAAATACATAAATACAATCATTCATATATAACGATATACCTAAATGTCAATTATCATCAACAAGCGTTTCTAGTAAATTCTTTCATTCACAAGTTACTTTGTTGCTTATAAAAACTATCTTCACCTTGACAGAGAAATGACATAATTCCCCCACTAAACCCATATCTTAGGAAAGGTAGAAAAGGAATCCCAGACAGTTTGGATAAGTATCTCATTGTCATTTGATAGAAGAGATTTAATTGAAAAATTCCTTTCTTGGTTTCTCTGTGAAGAGTTTATTTCCCCATATCTTATCACACAGAGGGGTTTTGTTCTTCTGAATCTAATCATAATAAAAAATTATCTTTATTTCTTGATTCTGGTTATTTCAAAGTACAATATTATACTGAAATTGATATTTGCTCCACTATAAGAAGACACAAAGCCACACAAACTAGCCACCAAAGATAAAACTTCTCTTTTTCCAAAACATAAATTTTAAAAAGAAACATTAAGAATACAGACATTGGTTATTGACATCTATTTTTATCCAGTGCATTAAGAACACATTGGTGGAGGGAACCAGCAGTTAGCGTAATGGCTATGTCCCTGGACTCCCACGTAGTCGACCGCGGTTCGCGTCCCGAACCCGGTGGCTTAAAACTCACGCCAGGCGCGTGTGTGTGCGTGCCCAAGATCCCGAGAGGAGAATGGAGGAGAAGGGATTGCGTTGTGACCATCCCCCCTGGGGGGTGATTTCTTGCTTTCTGTCTCTCTGCCTCTCTCTGTCTGTCTGGCGAGTGCATGCACCCTATAGGGAAAAAACCTCTCCAAAAAAGAACACATTAGTGGAGACACAGAGAGGTTTTGTAAGTTATCTGAATGATTCCTGATACAATATTATTTTATGACAGGAAAATGATAAGAATGGTTTAACAAGTAATTGAAACAATAATTTGACCAGTATCATGTCATAAAATTTAAAAGAATTAGAAAGTTAGAGCTTATTCTTGATTACTTAAACTTTTCCTTTCTTTCTTTCTTTCTTTCTTTCTTTCTTTCTTTCTTTCTTTCTTTTTTTGGAACATTCAAAAAACGAAGGGCAAACATGCTTAAGGCTATTGAAACACTGGACAAATGACCTTGCCTAACCAAGCTCCATGCAGAAGAAAATATTACCTAGCAAGCAGATTCTAGCTATACATACAGCTGGGGAGAAGAAAAAAAATGCCTTTAAAATATATACATGTGGTCTTTGATGATTATTTACATGTTTGTCACATGGGTACTACCTAGCATTAAAAAAGTTAGGAAATAGTTCTTTTAAGACATGATTCTTGGATTTTTGCTCCTTTGAAAGATTAGGGCTCTATTCATAATGTATACACACATATTCAATGATTTATAGATGGGCAGAGACGATGTTTATAATATGCAATTTCTTGACACCAAGGGTGGTTCAGCTGAGCATGAGACAGATGCAAGGCATTAGTATGAGACATGGGATGGGTTCAATTGCACGGCTGGAAGGTAAACCACATTATGAAGTCACGAGATATTCCTGGGGTTAAACTCACAACAGTGGCTTTCAGGGTTGGAGGGAGGCTCACCTTGTGCTGATCCATCTCTCCCCAGCATACCTGATGCTATTCTGTGGTCAAAATGGTCAAAATCAGTACTTCTGGGGACCGGCACTTAGCGTAATGGCTATGTTGCTGAACTCCCATGTAGCTGACTGCGGTTCTAGTCCTGGACCCGGTGGCTTAAACTCACTCCGGGTGCGTGTGTGTGTGTGCCCAAGTTCCCGAGAGGAGAATGGAGGAGAAGGGATTACAGCATGGCCATCCCCCCCCAGAGGGGGGTAGTGATTTCTCGCTTTGTCTCTCTGTCTCTCTCTCTCTTTCTGGCGAGTGCACGCACCCTATAGCAAAAATCTCTAAAAAAAAAAAATCAGCAGTTCTACTGATCATAAGCTATAAATGTGGTGAGGGATGGGAAGCCATATCTCATATTAGTTTTTGGGTTTGGGGATGAGAGAGCCAGTGTTTTCAAGAGATAGGCCATGACTTCCATTTTGCTCATTTTGTCTACTTGTTTGCTTCTCAGCTTCTATGGGGGCTTCCAGCAGTCAGGTTAAACATAAATTTTTAAAAAGATAGACTCTTTCAGCTGTGGGACTTTCTCTGAATGAGAATGACCAGGAGATTTCTAATGAGTGGTAGAATGTGTGCAATGTGTGGGTTGGCTGAGTGCCTATTCTTCTGACAGAAGTGAACCAGCACTGCCTGTTCTCAAAGTTCTTAGAATTCAGAAATTCAGATAAAATATTTCCTGAGATCTAAGTTGCTGTGATGCATTTTGCAAAGCATATGCTTCACTTACTGTAACATACCCCCAACCAAAGCTTCCTTCTTAGAGAAAGGCAGCTGACTTCACTTTCAGCACCTTGAGATATCAAGGCCAAAGTAACAACTTATTCACTGACACCAGAAGAAATGGCAGAGAAATTGAAGTTTCTCACACACCTAGCTTATTGCCAAGAAAAAGTCAGTCTTGGAGGAACTAGGTGCACTGACAGTTCACATAAGGTGATGTTACTACTACTGATGACCATCATAGTAATTATGTAATTATTTTAGCATTTAGCATAATGCATGATACATTGCATTACATAGCACCTTTCAAGCTAAGGATCTTGATACTTAGCAAATGCGATTTGCTCTCACAGCACCTGTGAGGTAGGTGTTTTATTACAGCCATTTTACAATTGAGCATATTGAAGCACAGCAAGGTTAAGTGCCCAGTACATATGATGGGCATCAGTAGAACCTGAAAACAGGCTTGCCCGCTCTGCCTTCCCATGAACCTCAATCACATAGTCCCCAGAACACCTCATAACAGCACTGCTGCTAAAGGCACGCGGATGTTTCACAGGTTAGAGAGGATTACACCTGTCACAGTAGGGCCAAATCGTAGAGTAGTATCAGAACTTATGAAAGATTTTCTCCCGTGCTTTGCAAATCTATGGGAGGGGCATCTTGCACTATTGCTAAGCTGATGTCAGTTATAATGTAGACCTAAAGGTGCATTTCCTCAATGTGATTTATTGTTTTCTGGCCTACTATGAACTTATTTTCTACACATGGAGACATGTACCTGCAAGATCCAGAAACTGAAATGCACTTAGAAACAATGGATACAAAAAAGCAGGTGAGATTACATTTGGCAAAGTCCTTGGAGGCATCATACAGTGCCTATCATGTTTGTTCTGAAAGAGCAAACAAAACAAAACAAAACAAACAACAAAATTCTCTTCTACACTTTTTTAAGTAGCATTTAATATACATTCCACCTGGCAACTAGGTTTAATTCTTGGATGAGCAAGGAGAGTTTTCTTCCAAACATGAAGAATATTTGACTCTCAAGTTTAAATTCCTATCTATTTAACCACAGCCTCCCTGTCAGAACTAAGTTCATTTCTTGGTGGAATCACAAATACTATACACATTACATGGCAATATATATATATATATAAAATTTAAATGTAACAATAACACACAATATTAAATCACATCCAGTGTGTCTTGCTGACTGCATCATTTCTCAATTGTTTTTTGAAAAAGAGTTATTTACTTATTTATTTTTGCAGAGATGATATGAAGACGTTACTGTGTTTCAGTTTCCCAGAACCAGATTTTTACCTCAGATGCACATACTAAAATCCTAGGAGTTGTCTGAAAGTTGCTTTTTAAAATAAATGGCAATGCCTTAAGATCTGAGGGTGAAATCTGGCCCTTCTAACTCATTTATTGTTTCTATAATCAGAGCCTAAAATGTGTCAATCGGTAATCCAAGAAAGGAACTAGGAGCAGGAAGCAAAAACTTTACAAAACCCCTTCACCAGTCCACTTCCCCTGGTGACACCTGTAAAATGCCAATGCCTTGGGCCCCGTTTCTTAAAAAAAAAAAAAAAAGAAAAGAAACATATTTACATTGATTAAAAATCCTAACATCTGAGATGTTTCTTGCTTGACATGTCATTCCAGATTCTGTGCATTTCTTCTGGAGAGATCTGGTGCACGGTGATAACTCGGCGATACCGACACAAACTGTAAGCCATTTTCCAGTGATTGAAGCCACTGTTCTGGAAAGGATGTATGCCCAGCTTTCGAAGACATAGTCCTACATATACATCTTCAAGGTGAAGCAGCCTAGTGTGGAGTGAGGTCTTGTAAATGAGTTCAGCCACATCAGCTGAAAAGATATAGCCAGTCCCTGAACAGAATGGTGGGTAGTTACTGTCTGGGTACAAATCCCTGGGCATATACCACTTGCTGCGGACATCCCGGATTGGCCCTCCATTGATGACGTAACCAGTAAAATACCTTCTTCTTGGCTTGGTAGAGGGTTTCAGTAGTTTATAAATAAGATTGTCCATGTTTACAAAAATGTCACTGTCTGTTTTCATGACGTACTTGGCTTTTGAACAAAAAGTGGCTACCCATCTCATCCCCATTAATGTCTTGAGAGTCAGGTTATGGTAGGAGTCAATGAAGTCTTCCACAATGATGTCGTGGAAGATCTGGCTCTCCTGTTCTACCATCTGATTCAGAACAGGATCTGCATTTTTGCCCAGAAGGAAGAGGGTGGCTATCTTGATACCTTTAAAGTTGTTCTCGTCCCCCCATGTCTCTCGAATGGCCTGGCGCGCATCGAATTCCTTGTGGGTGGTGCTGATGAGGATAACAAGGAAAGGAATGTTTTTCTCACATTTGTTGGGCTCGTTTATAAGAAATTCAAAAGAATGTGGGTTTATAGGTCGGGTTCTTATGTTGCCAAAAGTGAAGTTTTTCCTGGCAACTGTTAGGTGGCTGAATGGTTTTGAGCCAGTGTAGGAAGAAGTAGGGCGAGTGATACTCAAGTACCAGAGAGCGCTGGCCCAGCACACGACCGTCAAAACATACAGGCAGGAGACTTTTGAAGCCATTGTTTTGTGAGCAGGTCTATTCCAAATACTGAAGAATACACCTTCTTGGCACTAGTTTGTTTTTTTTCCCCAAAGGCAGCATATTACTAGTAAGTCTTAAAGTTCGATAGGAAAGTGTGAATGCGGAATTGTCCATGGGCTTTGGTGGCAGTCTGGCATCTCTGTGTTCACTCTACTTTCTTCCAAACCTGATGCAGTGTTCCATGCCTCATAAGTCTTCCTCTTAGCTCTGCAAAATCAATAAAGTACAGTTGTCGTTCAGATTTATTTAATAATTTTACATCCTCACATAAACATAACAAGGAAATACAAATTACCCAAGACCACTAAAATAAACAGAATCATTCATTTCCATCTGTACTAAAAACTTACTGACATTACCATACTCTCTTCTCCTCTCCCCTTGATAGAGGTATATTCATATCCAATTAACTATAAACCCTAGATGAATATAAAGTAAACTGAACAATTTCTAAAAAACGGTTTCCCCTTCTTCACAAGAGACCTTCTTTGCAATTGGGTACTCTCCACCATTAAGACTTTTTTCAAGCAAGAAACTCTCACATGTGGTCTTATATTGCTTTTCCATTTTTCCAAGTCTGAGTTTTTGTTTGCTTGGTCCTGATGAAGAATCACTTCTCACCTCTTTGTTTTCTGTATCCTTGTACTTTAAAATTTGCCAATCATCACTGGGAAAGTTCTACTAATGCTGTGTCTCTCTTGTCTTTGATTTAGAAAACATTCCCAACTGTTTCTCCCTTTCTCCTTAGCCTCTCGTGACTCCTAGCTCCTAATTTTCAGTGTTCTCTGTGGCTTTATGTAGAGAATATCTTTACCCCTCTTGTATAGAAATCATCACCCATGTGTCCTTTCAGATAGCTGGCAACATTTTTTTTTGGAGTTGACTTAAATGATGTCACTTTTGGAGTTGTCAAGAATTCACTCATATGTCCCCTGGATAAAATGATGAGACACCTTTTAGTTCTTTTTACTTAGTTACATTCACCTATAAGTATAGCATGAGTACAATGGGCTAGACTTTGAGCTTGGGGGCCACAAATCCAATGTGAAGAAGACTTTCATGGCAGTTCCCACTCAGAAGTTGTCCTTTGCAACTCCAATCCTTTGCAGAACTTTTCATGCTCTCTGAAACTTTAACTTCATGCCAGTTAAATGATATGCCAGTTTACAAAGTCCACTCATGTAAAAAATTGTTTTTTTTTTTCCTTCCTAGTTCAAGCAGAATGTAGTACTGGCAGGCAGAGAAAGTAGATAATAGGTATCAATTTTAATAAAGTCTGCTTCAAAGAAAACTTTGTGCATAAATGTACAGACCATGTTGAAAGAATTAAGCTAGAAATATAGATTGAAAATTATGCTTCTAAGCACAATAGTCATAACGAAATGAGAAGACATAATGGGCAACAGCAGTGACAATATACATCCTCTTGTCTAAGCCAAGAGCTGACTGTGAATATATGATCCATATGAGACCAGCAATAACTCAGCGTGGTTATGGCTGTAACTAAATGAATATTAGAATGACTTCAAGCAGCATGGCTCTAGGCATAGTCAGGCCTTCATCCAGCTCATAAGTACTTTCTAAATAAGGCTTTGGTATCTTTTTTCCTACTGGAGAAAATTTCTGCTCTAAGGTGCACCAAAGCTGATAAAAAGAGAAATGTGATGTGCAGCAAGCATTGAAACTTTGAACAGTGAGCAAACAGAGGTTTAAGAAAGTAAGAGGAACCAGTAATAGTTTAGGGAAGGGATTTTCAACCTCACTTCAACTTCAGTTCCAAAGAATTATGAGTGAGTCCCAAGATGAGTCTTGGGATGAAACTTTCTCTACTATTGTCCTGGCCTGTGGATCTGATTGTTATGCTTCCACTCTTATTAGATATTGCCCTGTACCCTTGCATATGTCTCTATTAAACTGTGAGAGAGCCTCGCGTGGAAGAGGGAAGAGGACCATGATAGGTAATCTTTGGGAACCAATAACCTGGTTATTTTTCTTTCTAGTTTTCTTTATTTCTTTACCTTTCTTTGTTTATCTGTCCCTGTCTGTTTTTCTTTCTATCTCTGTCTCTCTCTGGTCAAATTTAGATAAATAATAATAAATTATGTTAAGTAGAATAATTCTTAAAAAACTTTCTTTCAATATTTGAATTTATTCATTCATTTGTTAATTCACTTATGCATCAACCAACCAATTTAACCAATATTTATTGAGTGTCCCTTGTGTGTGAAGTATTAGGAAAAAAATATATAAAACCCATATTCTAGTCTTAAGGAACTTTTAGTCTAGAAGGAAAGATCTCAAGTAAATAATTAAAACTGTAGGGTACAGTTTTCCTCACAAGATTATTGGCACACATACTGGAGGTGGACAGAGGGCAGGAGAACCAAATGTGACCCTGCAGATTGCACACAGGATAGCCCCAGAAGGAGCCATCTCACTCCTCTATCACTTCCTGAAGTCAAACAATGAACAAGCCCTAGGGAGGATGCCATGGAGAGTTCATAAGAGGTGTGCTAAGTCAAAATTTTCATAGAGAACTATGACTTACCTGGATGAAGGTCAGGCATTCTAGGGAAAGGAAGTAGCATGTGCAGAGGCAATAACAAGAAGAAGCCTAGCTTGTGGTAGAACTATAAAAAGAGGGCAGAGTGATGGGAAGGAGTGTGGAAGTGGTCAGAGGTGGGCTATTGATGGTGAATGGTACTCAGAAACTATTCTGGGCTGAGTTGAGGGTTAGCCTTTCATGCAATGTAAAAGGTGTGAGGGAGGATTGTGCCTTCCCTAAATCCTGCCCACTGACTTTAATAACAATTCATTCTTCCACAGTAAGAATTTCTTCCTCCCACAGTTTCATACCTTAGAAGAGTAAGTAAGAATTTCTTTTGTCTCATATTTTTCTGTTTAATTTTCTAGGGGAAGGGACTGTAAAAATATAGGTACCTCAGAGGTTTACAGTAAGCTAAAAAAAAGGAGAAATATGCTAAATAGGCGAAAACACTAAAGAAAGTTTATTTATAAACACTTTTTTCATGAAGAATTTACATTTTCCTTTGAACAGTTAATAAACTGTTCAATGATTATGTCTTACCATTATTATTACATCTCTCATTTTAAAATGGTAGACCACGTACCCTGCTATAATAGTGTATTCTATTCCATTATATTCTATTAATACAGGATCATCCCTTACAGTGTTGAAAAAGAGATTATTTTCCCCCTTTTACAGATGAGAAAATGAGAACTTAGAGATACTGAGTAGCTTGCTCAAGATCATATAGCTCTTGAGTGGTTAGGTATGTAGTCACTCCCAAGTTAAAAGCCTGTTGGGGCCATAGGCATAATCTTGGATGGAAAACTCTAAGTGGCAGACAACACCACCAGCTCCTATTTTCTCAGGGTTATGTGAATTTATTTTTCTTAGATGAGTTCCCATTGTTTGATCTTCTCTCATTAATTCTCTTTTACCACAAACAACATTACACAAATTCTGTAAGCACTCTTCATCATCAAAAACTAGTGATTTACAAAGAGTTCATTAAAGCTTGAAGATGCTGGGTGCCACTCTTGAAAATGTTCAGGAACACTTCTCAGGTTTCTTCTCTCTCTCTCTCTCTTTTTCTCTCTCTGAAAGTATCACAATTTTTATTCACCTTTTACCTCTTTTCCAGACATGAGAATTTTGTATTATTTTTGTACAGTATTACATCTTATCAGTATTAAGTTCAAGTTTATATTTAGTAAATCCTTTGTTAAAAACAAAACAAAAATTTTGAAACGTGAAAAGAAGCCAGCATGGAATTTGGAGAAGTCATAGATAATGTAGATTTATAGCAAAGAGACCTAAAAAATGTCCTTTTTGTTCACAACAAAACAAATTTCTCATGGCCAAAGAAGTACAAAACTATGCCTCTGGACCAGAAATAGTAATATCAGTGAAGAGAAGAAAGAGTAGCATGATGCATTGGACTCTGAAGATTAATTTCGTGTGTTGAAGGAGGTAGTTGGTAGTGGGCCAGTGTGCCCATGGTTTGCTCCCTGTGTAATCATAACTTGCAATGTATATTTTCTGTGTCTTAGTAGTCTTAAGTATTTTTTTAAAAGGCAAAAAAACATGGATTTTATTTTAAAATCCGTTATAGGTATTAACAAACATTGCCAAATTATTGGAGATTCTGGGGAAATAGTTCTCTATAAGCAGACGCTATTAAGATACAAAGAACAGAATCTAATGAGGATGAGGTGATTACGTCTGTTTGTCAGTTCTTAGTTTTGTGGCCTGAGCACTTGTATTTAGCAATTCTTCTGAATAAATGGGATTGTAATGTCAGAGGTTTGGTTTGCTTATCTAAAACATCATTACTTTATAAATACAGTGTACAGATTTCTCTGCTAGAGAAACCTGTTTTCTTCCTGGAAAACTCAAAGCCAAATGCCCACTAAAAAGGAAAAAAAAAGTCAGCTAAAAAAGTTCTGGGAAATATGCTGAGTGTCACAAAGCAAAAATCACTCAAGATCTCTTTCATTTTTTGTAAGATTTTTTAAAAAAACCCTGTTTAACAGACAAGTTAATGCATCAGTTACACATATAACATTTGTCACTTTTTCTAGCAGCTTTACCACAACCAGACACTGATGACACATTAACTTGTCATCCATTAAATACAAATCTCTCCAAACAGAAACATTCAACTAGAACACTTGAAAGTTTTTTTCCCCCAAGGGCCTTACTGTATTTTAGGTTACCTCATTCATAGAACTCTCCAGTAACTGTCCACCTTCACTTTTCAGGAAGCTGATTGGGTAGACTTTTCACTTTAAGCACATGTTACCTTTGGATTTTCCAGGGAAGGCATAAGAAAGCTCAAAATGCATACAAAAAAATGTTCAACATCTCTTATCATAAGGGAAAGGCAAATCAAAACCACAATGAGACACCACTTAGCCCCATTATAATAGAATGTCTATGATCAAAAAATTTAAAAAAATGACAAGTTCTGGTGAAGCTGTAGTGAAAAGGGGATGCTCTTCACTGTTGATAGGAATACAAATTAGAATAGCCACTGTGGAAAACAATATAGAAGTTTCTCAAAAACCTGTAAGTAGAACTACCATCTGACCTAGTAATCCTACTCCTTGGTATTTTCCTAAAGGTTAGAAAAATACAAAGTCAGAAAGACACTTACCTATATATCCATGTTTATTG